AGCAAAACACCCCCCCAGCCTCTACACTGGCTGCTTGAATTTCCGCAAGAACACTGACGATCTCATGTAAGAAATCAGTGCTTCTTGCAGAAATATTATGCTGCTCCCGTTCGGGCAAAAGTCTTTTTCCGGAAAACTGTTCCAGAAAAGGACCAGTGTAGACAGCACAGTAGTGTTTTCCGCAAAAAAGCCCCTATTGTGAAAATGACGATCGGGGCTTTTTTGCGGAAAAGCGCATCTAGATTGGCCATGGACGCTTTTCCGGAAAAAGTGCTTTTCCGGAAAAGCGTCCTGCCAATCTAGACGCACTTTTCCGAAAATGCTTTTAACGGAAAAGTTTTCCGTTAAAAGCATTTCCGGAAAATCATGCCAGTGTAGACGTAGCCAGCATGTGTGGCTCAATCTACACGAGTGCCGCTTTAAGAAGAACGGCTCTTGCTACATTCAGAACCCATACTCCCCAGTTTCCAAAGACTCTCAAAGCACAGCTTAATCCTGCCTCGCCCTAGTGTAAGGATAGTGAATCTGTCACTTGGATTAAGAGATTGTAGAGCCAGAAGGGAATCCTTAGGGTCATCAAGTCTGACCTGCCAAACATAGGCCTGAGGATTTCGCTTCATGATTCTTGCAATGGAAAATTTATTCTTTCCGTTATGCACGGTACTAATGCAACTGAGCCCTGTTACTTGGGGGTGAGTAAAATCATCTCCCTTAGAAAGGCATCCAGTCTGGATACAGAGACCTCAAATGATGAATTTACTACACTTCTTGGTGCTGGTACCACTGGTCAGTTACCCTCAATCTTGAAAAGCTCTGCTTTATTTCCAGTTTGAATTTTTCTACCATTGGAGCCTAGTAGGCCTTTTATGCTACTGGTTCAAACAGTCATTGAAGCTAACACACATCCTTGTGTGTTTTCCTACAGCATCTTCTGCCTAAAAACTCCTTTCTGAACCCCCTGTAGTAGAGAACCATACCTCGTTTTGCATCTGATGATGGATAAATCGAAATATACCGGATGGACATCACACCGGACTGGAGGCAGAACGGGATTCACTAGTGACACTTCCAGCCAAGGCCCATTGGTGGAGTATATGAACTGCACCTGGGGAGATGTCAGACCTAAGCAAACCATCAACAACAAATGTTTTGTAAGTGCAGGGTCCTTTGGTAGTCCTGACAAGAACATATTAAAATATTTACAGGGTGCAACTAAGATTGTGTTAAACAACAGGGCTGCGTCTAGACTGGCAAGTTTTTCTGCTGCGGAAAAACTTGCCAGCATCTACACTGGCTGGGTTGACTTTCTGCAAGAACACTGTTGATCTCATGTAAGAAATCAGTGCTTCTTGCAGAAATATTATGCTGCTCCCGTTCGGGCAAAAGTCCTTTTGCACAAAGCTTTTGCGCAAAAGGGCCAGTCTATACAGCTCAGATTTGTTTTGCGCAAAAAAGCCCCGATCGCAAAAATAGCGATCGGGGCTTTCTTGTGCAAAACCACGTCTAGATTGGCATGGACGCTTTTCCGCAAAAAGTGCTTTTGCGGAAAAGCGTCCGTGCCAATCTAGACGCTCTTTTCTGCAAATTCTTTTAACGGAAAACTTTTCCGTTAAAAGCATTTGCAGAAAATCAGGCCAGTCTAGATGTAGCCCAGCAGTGCTAGCCCATAATCAAGGATTTTAAAACCAAGTGTGTGGTGTTTTCTTTCATATTAAAACATGGTTCATTTTCTTACCCAACTATGTATCTTCTTGGGGTGAACTGGTTGGCTACGTCTACATTGGCACCCTTTTCCGGAAAAGGGATGCTAATGAGACACTTCGGAATTGCAAATTCTGCGGGGATTTAAATATCCCCCGCGGCATTTGCATGAACATGGCTGCCGCTTTTTTCCGGCTCGGGGTTTTGCCGGAGAAAAGCACCAGTCTAGATGCAATCTTGCGGAAAATAAACCCTTTTCTGGAAGATCTCTTATTCCTACTTTCCTACTTCAAAACCCCGAGCCGGAAAAAAGTGGCAGCCATGTTCATGCAAATGCCGCGGGGGATATTTAAATCCCCGCAGAATTTGCAATTCCGAAGTGTCTCATTAGCATCCCTTTTCCGGAAAAGGGTGCCAATGTAGACGTAGCCATTTTGTATACTAACCATATAACCTCTCCCATACATATTCTGCTATAGAGCATGCTGCTTCCACTGAGCCTGATTCTCTGCTACCTTGCACCCTGGCATTTTACACCCCCTTTCCACATATTTAGCACAGTTACACATGATCTTTCAGGGATGCTGAGGAATTGCAACTCTTTCTGAAGTCAATGCTCAGCACCTCTGAAAATCGGGTCATTTATGTATGGCCTAAAGGATTGGTACTCAAAAGATCTGGCTCTGTTCCTTGCTCTGCTGCTGGCTTGCTGGTTGGCCCTGGACAAGTCACTCTGCCCTCTCCATGCTTCAGTTTCCCCATCTGTAAAAATAGAGATAATGATCTTGACCTCCTTTGTAAAGTGCTTTCAGATTTACTGATGAAAATTGCTGTATAAGAGATGGGTAGCATTATTTGTATGGTTAATTTGGAGCAACCAAATTTGACAATTACGGCCTATGTGACCAACAACATTGACAACTCTTATGATTTTATCACAAGTCTCATGTTACCACAGCTACTGCTGTCGTGTGACCATATGAAAATCGTGGCTTTCATGAAAAAGTACATTTCTAGCTCTTATGATTGCCGAGAAAACATGACAATCTATAGAAGTGCACCCTAAATGCAGAAAGCAAATACAAATACAATAAAAAGAACCCAGTATTGATTTTTCAAACCAATCTCATGATTTTCGGGGATCTGACTGCTGTGTTGTGTGGACATTTTTTGTTTCATTTTGTTTTATATTTATGGTTGTCAATACAAGAATGACAAATTAAGAAAATTAGAAAGGCCGTACTGGATCAGACCAAAGGTCCATCTAGCCCGGTATCCTGTCTGCCGACAGTGGGCAATGCCAGGGGCACGAGAGGGAATAAACAGAAGAGGTAATCATCAAGTAATCCATCCCCTGCTGCTCATTCCCACTTCCTGGCAAACAGAAACTGGCAAATATCTATTGATTGACCTATCTTCTATGAACATATCTAGTTCTTTTTTAACCCTGTAATAGTCTTGTATTTCAGAACACAGCTGACCCCTTGTCATTCTGGGTGATCCATTTTATCCAATGATGTCCACCCATTACTAACAGCCTTCTAAAAAAACAACAAATAGTCTGGTAGCATTTTAAAGACTAACAAAATAAGCACAGCCCACTTCTTCTAAAACTTACTTACCCTCCAAGGTCAGGGTGATCCATGTCCCTCCAGCAAGGCTGCCTTCCTTGGGTTCAATGAATAAGTTAGCAGATGCCCCTGCAAAAATAACCCAGATACTTGAGGATGAAATGTAATATGGCAGCAGAACCTGATGTGTTCAGCATGTAGCTTTACAGTGGCATTGCCAAAGCTTGATACACAATTCCTCCATGGGAGGTATTTAAAGGGTGACTATCCATCCATTCTGCCCAAAGTATCTTTTCCCTAAATAAACAAATCCCAGACAACATAACTGGAGGAATTAAAATAGATTAGCAATACCCACTCACGTGCCCACACATGAATGTACATAGAATGAATAAAAATGGATGAACATAGAAAAGCCAATGGGAGGTAAACTCCTAGGCACCAAAGTCCCACTGGAAAATGAGAGTCAGCTAACCCTTGCAGCTGCCCCTGGTGTGCCTCAGTGAGGAAGTCTTGCTCAACTTGTAGGGTATGTCTAGACTACATGCCTCTGGCGACAGAGGCATGTCGATTAGGCTACCCAGCATACGGAAATGAAGCCGCAATTTAAATAATCGCAGCTTCATTTACATTTAAATGGCTGCTGTGCTCTGCCGACCAACCGAATTAAGGGGCCACACACCCCTTAATTCGAACTAGCTAGTTTGAACTAGGCTTAATCCTCGTAAAATGAGGTTTTCCTAGTTCAAACTAAGTGCTCTGCTAGTTCGAATTAAGTTCGAACTAGCGGTTTGTATGTGTAGCGCCTATCAAAGTTAATTCGAACTAACATCTGTTAGTTCGAATTAACTCTGTAGTGTAGACATACCCTTTCTGTGGAAGAGATCTGCAAAAACTTCTTGCACAAGACCACGAAACTTCTTGCACATCGAAAAAGCAATGCGTTTTTACACAAGACAACGTCCAGACTACAGGGACGCACTCTCGAAAGGAAATTCTGATTGCTATTTACGAAGGCACCTGTGCTTTTTTCGATTGCCTCTTTTTGCACAAAAAAATCCTCTTGCCCGTCCACACACACACCTTTTTGCACAAGAACTTTTTGCACAAGAACTCTTGAACAAAGGAGTTATTCCTCATAGAAGGAGGAATACCTACCCTGGAAAAACCCCTCTGATCTTTCATTTGACTTGCACAAAAATGTGCTTGAGGTGTGGAATCTCCACGAGTTTTTGCACAAAAACGGTCATTTTTGTGCAAAAACTCTGTAGTGTAGACATAGCCTGGCCAGTTATTCACTGCAGAGACAGCAACAGAACAAGCTTCTCTTGTGAATGACCTAATGGGACCATCTAGGAGTTGAAGAACAATGCAGTTCCCTTTCTAGCGGAGGACCACTGCTGAGGCTATCAACAAGCGCAGGAGTTATGATAATGGTTTCTGTGATATGGACATTTTCCCACTAGGAACTAGACTGGGATTCACCAAAATCACCAGACAAAACCATCAGACAATAATAACTTTTACTCACTATCGGCTTCGGTTAAATTGGAACCAGCAACTTGGAGGATGGTGGTTTACTGAAGAAAAATCACTGCCAAGTGTCCCAGCATTGGAGTATCAGGTATGTGAAATATTGCACTGGATACTGTATACTGGTGGTCTCTATACACTGTGTTTTACAAATCTAACCACACACCTACAAAATGGCACATTCTGTGTACTGGTCTCGTGAAATCCCATGTGCTATTGCCATTGCCCTATGGCATCTAATTCCATCCTTTCTGCAGACCACTTCATAAGCCTCCCACAAAGGCAGAGCCTTTTGCAAAGCTGCTTCCAACCTCCCCAAAACTCCTCTGCCTTCCCAGAGGCCGTCCTTGCTTTGTCCTGCTGGCCGCATGAATGGGCATTTGAGAGCCCCTGCCGCCTAGCACTCACCTGCAACAAACAGCAGCTCCAGATTCAAAAAGGGCAGAAGCAAAGTGTTCATCTCTGGTCCCTGACACCGACGGCATGGGAGACTTTCTCTGAAATCACTCACATCTTCACCCGACTAGCAAGTGGCTTTAGTGCCCTTGCACCTTCCCTGTAACATAAAAACCCCTCTCTATAGTCCTTATTCACATGACAAGCCTTAGGCAGGCCCTGGTGCTGAGTCATTTTTCTGCCAGCTAAGAAGGGCTGTTTCCTGAATCAGAAAAGGTGTCAGCCAGACCACGTTCACATGTGATAACCACACAGGAAGTTTCATCCACTTCTAGTGCTCAGTCCCCATGGCCAGGGACAGGTTTACACCAGCCCTATTCCTATTTTGGCACCTAACCAGAGATTGTCAGGAGTGCTTAAGGGACTGTGGCTCACTATTCCCTCGGAAGGCCAATGGGAAAGTCCTTTGGCTCTTCAGCACTCTGGGCAGAAAAAGTCTGTGAGCTCAAGCCACATCCTAGTGAAGATGCCCAGGGCCAGATCCACAGCTGGCCCCACAGCATGCCCAGCAAAGTTAAAGAAGGACACTCCCTTGGCGTGGCTGCTCCAGGATTGCTGCAGCCAGGGGCTACCCTGCGCAGGTCAGACCTGCCAGGTAAGCACAGTCCATGTGTAATGAGAGAAGTGCTGGGGCTCTTGCGATATTTTTACATTCATAATTGATGCAGCAAGCCCAGAAAGGTTGGGGCTATACACTGCCAAGCCTCGAGGTGCCATGGCTCAGCCCTGGCACAAATTAAGCACTGAGCACAGCAGATAGATGAGATACTGTAGCTGAGGGCCATGCCCACCAACAGCAGGGGACAAAGGAGACAACAGCCCTGAGGGTCCACAATTCAAAACAGCCTGGGGCTCTTGGCCACTATTGCTACTGAGCAGCATGCTCCAGGCAGGGGCTGGCTGGGCAGGGCATGATACGGACCGTGTGGCACTGAGGGCTGGCCCCTCCTGGAAGCATGGAGCTGCCTCACCCCACAACTTGCCCTGAGGCCTGGCTATTCTGTTGGTCCACCTGCCTAGGGCCGGCTCTAGGAGTGAGAGAACTGTAGCATGTCAAGATAGGGAAAAGCAAAAGGCTGACTCCTGAGGGGGGCGTTCGGAGTGACCACAAACAGCACAGAGGGTATGTCTAGACTACATGCCTCTGCCAACAGAGGCATGTAAATTAGACTACCCGACATAGTCAATGAAGCAGGGATTTAAATATCCCCCGCTTCATTAAAATAAAAATGGCCGCCGTGCTGTGCCGGCTCAGCTGATGGTCAGCACAGCGCAGCAGTCAAGACGCAGATGGGTTGACAGGGAAGCCTTTGTCAACCGCTCCCTTATGCCTCGTGAAACAAGGCTACGCGTGTAGTCTAGACATACCCAGAGAGGGGATTAGCCCAATAACTGTGACAAGCACATTGTAAAGTTGGAGCCTTCTGCTACTCCTATTGAGGACAACAACATGAATTGTTTGAATGACGTCCCCCTTTCAATCAGCAGCCAGGCATGGTCATGAACAGCCTAAAGCAGTGGGGGGCAACCTGAAGCCTGAGAGCTACATGCGGCCCATCAGGGTTGTATGCGCTGCCCACAAGACATTTCATTTACCGTTGCTCATGCTAGATTCCACCGGTTTCCATCCGTGTAATTTTTTCCTACCCATATGACTAAAGTGACACGCATGTAAAGCAAGGGCAGGTGTAGTGATGTGCATGTTGATTGCACCCAACACTAACTGTGAGAAACATGTGTTCCCTCTGCATCCAAAGCGCTGCTACAGTTCAATCAGCACACACTCACACACACACACGCAAATTCTAGGTATGCAAGCACAGTTAGCAAAATTACCCTATCTTGGGAAACAGTCTTGGTTACAACAATCTTGTGACCCATTGACATGAAGGAAGGCCACTCATGTAGCCCACTCGCTAGCCTCGGTTGCCCATTGCTGACCTAAAGGACACTTCATCCAAAGGTCTACATGCTGCACACCCTTCAGTTAATTCATTGGGTCGTCCGACATCTTTGTTGGAAATAGACCAGTATTGTAGCCTCTCTTTCACAGAGAAGTGACTTAGTACCATGTCCCACAGTGAGACTGTAGCTGGGTAGTGGCTAAAAGTCATGAGTTTTGTAGCCAGCCTTTCTAAGGAAACATCAGAAAGAGAAAACACACAAGTTCTCTCCGTCTAAGTGTACAAATGTTCAGTCATATGATGTATTCCATCCCTCCACTCCTCCTGCTTCCAGGTGCTGATAGAGAGTAGATATTCATACGCGAATATCATAGTAATGGAAAGTAGCTACAGAAGTTTGCTTCTACCCTTTACAGTCTGAGCTCCTCCACTTTATAATGCAATCACTAGTTGTTGGCTCCTCCTAACAGTTCCTCATGCAATTGTCATTGCTACTAGCCAGATTCTATAACCTGTGCTCAAATTGACCTTGCATTGGAAGTGATACACATAAACGATTAAAAAAAAGGCACTGCTGCTTACCTTTCCCTATTTGCTTTTCTTGCATTGCTCAGATGAGAGATTCACACAAGTTACCTTTGCTTTCCGAATAATTTTTCTGGTTTCATCCCTTCAGAGTCTGGAAGCTTGGTACAATTTTGTTGCTGTTCTGGGACAAAGGCTGCTCCAAGCATTAACTCTAATTGCTCAGCAGGTTACTGATTCATGTCATGCCATAACTTACCAGACTAGTTTGTGAGCAGGTTGGGTGCTTGTCATAGTAGAAGCTCAGAAGTATCCATAGGGCAAGCTTAATAATTAATCTAAGCTCCTTATGTTATTAACCATTTTGCTCTGAATCTTTTGTTAATGACTCTGGGGAAAGCAACTTGGAATTTTTCTCCTCTTGGAATAGGATTTTATACATGCAATGAAAACAAACACATTTTCAAATCAATCAACTTTGTATTTTTTCTTTCATTGCATCCATATGAAAATTAACCCACCCATAAATGTTCTCCAATACACCAGTCAGCAGAGTTGGAGGTAACTTTCATAACAACCCCCTCACCCCACCCCCACCCAAGGAGTTGGTGTTTTCTAGCAAACCTAAACAACAGTCCAAATTTGCCAGGGTTTCACAAAGCATCTCTGAGTTTGCCAAGAATTTTACCCAAGTTTCAAGCAGGGCTGGGATTATGTCTATGGTGCCTGGTGCAATCTGGTGGTTTCCCATGATGGTCCTACAAAACCAAGTAGAAGTTTTCTCCAAAATTCACTCTGACGTTTCGAGCTAATAGTGTTGCAATGTTATCCACTTGAAGTAAACATCAAAAAGAGGTACACACACACTTCTGAGCAGTCACCACAGGATTTTATACAGCTCTGTGGGTGACACGTCAACTGGAGTCTCTCAATCATCAGCAGCCTGAAGTTTTATAACCATCCCAAAGACCTGCCTTACAAATAAGTTTTTGTGATGTTATAGTCTCTATTCAGTATTTTTGTTTAAATTATCAGTCCCAAAAGCCTCAGGTGAATAGTCTTAAAATCCCAGCTTCTAGGATGGGTGAAAACTAGCCACAAAGATGTTAAATACTCATCTGCAATGGAGGTGCATAAAGCTGGTGCTAGTCCTTGCATCTCCTTGTAGGAAAAGGTACTGGCTGGTCTGTATGTTACACCGCTGCCTTCTGCTGGATGGAATCAGAACTGCTCATGAGCGAGTGATCAAACTGACATCTAGTGACCTTATGCCTGTAAATAAAGAATAAGCATAAGATATGATACTATTATCACCTAGAGATGAGCCTCTTTTCCCACAAGCAGTAGAGAACCAAGGCTTTGAAGCAGAGGCTTCATGATCTAGGCTCCACGTTCTGCATGTTTGGAGGTTAGCAGCCCACATGACAGCAACCTGGCTATAGATTTATTCTGTATTCTTAGGACTCAACATCAGAGGACTGACTAGTGTTAGGACACTAGTGCAATTCACTAGTGTTAGAGCACAGTGTTCTTATTTACCCACATCCTCCTCCTCCTAGCTAACTTGAATGGAGCTTTCCTGGAGACCTGACAATAGGAATTTATGGTCAGTGAGTTAAGGAGAGGGCATTTTAAACACAGTTACTACATCCCTGACATCTGACTTGCTGGTGTTTTTCTGCCCTGCTGGGGAGTCTTACTTTAAACAGCAAGTATCACTTTAAAAGCGGGTCTCTACTACTTTCATTCCCCTTAGAGGGAAACAGATATCCATAGACACCCTAGTGCAAAGTCACGAGGTCAGTTTTCACGAGAGTTCTGCTCTGCTGCTCAATAGCAGAACTAGCTACATGCGGTTTATTCCTGAATCCAGGCTGTGTTTCAGTGCCTAACAGCCAGCAATGAGGGAAGCCCAGCACAATTTAACCCTAGCCTGTCCACCTTTATTTAATTCATTTAAGGGGATTGCATTGCATGGTTGAGGACTGCAAAAGGACTTAGCTTCCTAGGAGATTTCATGCCTTGAATATTGTTGGTATGAACACTGTGGCTTAGTATCCTCAGAGTGCATATGCCAAATAAATGAATATTGCACTGATGTTCAAAACCTGGGATTTCAGGGCCAAAGAAATACACAATGTGGAAAAATATTCTAAAGATGTAAGATAATTTGTGGCAAAAATTAAATGTTTGTTGCTGGTTTGTTTGTTTGTTTGCTTGTTTGTTTAATCCCTGTCTTCTTCACACTTAGTCCCTTTGCATTTTGCTCTCCGCAAATAATTCTAGCTCTGGACATCACCAGCAGCTTTGGCCTCCAATGCCAGTGTTACCTGCAGTGCGATCCATAGGGTATGGTGGCATTATAGGATAGAGCCTGTCTGTGTCCTGCTCCCAGCTCTGCTGCACACTTTCTAGTGCTCGTCACCTGGCCATTTTCTGCCTCAGTTTCCCCATATGAAAAATAGGAACAATTCTGTCTTTCTTTCTTCATGCAACATTTTGGGATCTAAGCATGGGGAAGTGCTATAAGAGTGAAAGTCTCACCTAAATGACCTAGATTTGCTGGTTCAAGGAAGAGTGATGAAGTATAGACAATTTCTGCAACAGTCCTAATTCAAGTAAGGCCATAACATATCTAGATCCCTCCAACTGCAGGGCCTTTAGGAGTAAGAAGAGAGCACAGCTGTATGTGTTGGGGGGGACAAAAGCCATTTACAGGAGCATTGTTGCTTGCGGTATATAGGGCTGATCCCCAGAGCATATCCACTATGCAGAACCAGCTGGGGGAGGCACTGGAAGGTGGCTGGTGTGTCACCACAAGGCAGCTAAGTCCCTTCATCAATAGGTTTGGAAGGGCCCTAGATGCGTGAGCAACAAGTCATAGGAAATAAAGAGCAGGGTTCCCCTAGGATTACCAGATGATTTCAAAAAAATACCGGACACACTTGATCTCAGATGGGGGAGGGGACCGGCTGGAAAGACTCAGAGCCACAGGAAGCACGGTGGGGTAGGGTTACCAGATGGTTTAAAAAAAATCCCAGACACATTTGATCTCGGATTGGAGGGCAGGGGGACCCGATGGCGGGAAGCAGAGCTGGCCAGGAGAGGGTTGGAAGGAGCGGGGCTGGCCGGGGGGGCGGGGAACCGGCCAGCAGGGAGCGGGACTGGCCCAGATGCATGCAGATCCCGGGGTGCTGCCCATCCCACGCACGGTCCTGGCAGAGCGCATGGATGAGTCTGGTCCCGGGGATTCCATCCCGCCCCCCTCCTCTCTACTGTGTAGTTGCGTACTGCCTGGCTGGTAGATATGCTCACGCAGTGTGAGCATGCCTACCAACCAGGCAGTATGCAATTATATACTGATACTCATGATAATAATAAAACTTACTTAATTAGAAAATACCGAACATTTATATGTCTGGTATTTTCTCAATTTGTTTCCCAGACAGAAAGCCCAAATACCAGACTGTCCAGTTCACAACTGGACACCTGGCAACCCTAGGTTCCTGCCGCTGAAACATCTGGCTGAGAAGTTCAGAAAACAGGTGGGGTCACTGAGAGAGTCGAGGTGGCAAAGATGTATTTATTCTATTCACGCCCCTACAAAAGTAGCAAGGGTTTGTTAACTGAGAAGACCCTTTGGCCTAAACAAAGAGGGCCACACAAGCTGGGACAAATTTAGCACAGCACCCATCACACTGGCCACTTTAGAGTAGGTAATTTTTTTAAAACACCCAGTAGAGATTCCAGCCATCAGACATGGACATGCATATTCAAGTCTGCACTATGGTAACTTTGAAAATGCCCAGCCATGCACTGGCATATATACAAGTTTCTAAAGGGTTAAAAATCCCTGAGTTGCCTTCTAATTTTGCAGCAACTTGTTCTTAAATTCAAGGTTTTAGGTTAGAAGTAGAATAAGAGTCAGTGCTTCGTAAAATAGTTCCGGGACTTTGACCCAAACAATCCTGAATCATTTCTGAAGCAAGCAAGAGAGAATTACTAGCCTGGAGGATGAGAGGGGTAGCTGTAAGAGCCTAACAAAAATATATAGAATCATGATCTTTTGTGGATAAAATTCACTTCATCGGATGAGCTGGAGTGGAAATAACAAAAATGAAGATAAATATAACAGCAAAAGTTGTACTCGTCTATGTAGGACCCATGATGATGAGGCTAATTAAGTGGGCCGGATTTGTACCATTCTCAGTTTTTGATGTGAAAAATGCAGATGTTACATTCTCAGAGGTTTCAGAGGGGTAACTATGTTAGTGTGTAAGGCTACATCTACACTGCAGGGTTTTTGCACAAGGAGTCCTTTGCGGAATCTACGTCTATACTGCAGGGTTTTTGCGCAAGGAGTCCTTTGCGGAAGAGTTCTTGAGCAAAAACTTCTTGCATAAAAGTGCATCCACACCTCATAATGCATCACTTTTGCAATGTGCTTTTGCACGAGAGAGAGTCCACACTGCATGGACACTCCTGTGCAAGAAAATCCTGATTGCCATTCACAGAATAGCAATGAGAGCACCTGTGCTTTTTCGGATAGGCTCTTTTTGCGCAAGGAACCGCTGTGGAGTAGCACCTGTGCTTTTTCGGATAGGCTCTTTTTGCACAAGGAACCGCTGTGGAGTGTTCACTCCTGCCTTTTTGCGAAAGAGCTGTAGCACAAATAGGGGTTATGCATCGTAAAAGGAGGTTTGCCTACACCAGAAAAAGCCCTCTGTTCTGTCGATTGAATGTAGATTTTCTTGCGCAAAAACACGCTTGATATGTGGATGCTCTGCAGGCTTTTGTGCAAAAACCTTGGGGTGCATCTAGACTGGCAACATTTTGTGCAAAAACTTGCCAACTGTCTACACTGGCCGCTTGAATTTGCACAAGAGCACTGACGTTCTAATGTAAGAATACAGTGCTTCTTGCGCAAATACTTTGATGCTCCCGTTCAGGGATAAGCCCTCTTGCGCAAGAATACTTGCGCAAGAGGGCCAGTGTAGACAGGCACCTTAATTTTTTGCACAAGAAAGCCCGATAGCTAAAATGGCCATCAGAGCTTTCTTGCGCAAAAGCGCGTCTTTACTGGGCATGGATGCTTTTGCGCAAAAGCACTTTTTGCACAAAAGCATCCGTGCCAATCTAGACGCTCTTTTGTGGAAATACTTTTAACTGAAAAACTTTTCCGTTAAAAGTATTTCCACAAAATCGTGCCAGTCTAGACGTAGCCTTGGAGTGTAGACGTAGTCTCACTGAAAAACTTAAAAACCAGTGAATATTCCTT